TGAGCCACGGGCCTGCCCTCTTAGAGGATATATTTTTTTAAAGGAGCAATTTTTTTTTTTTTGTCCTTTTTGAGACCGGCCGCATCGCGCTCAGCCAGTGAGCGCACCGGTTATCCCTATATAGGATCCGAACCCACGGCGGGAGCACTGCTGTGCTCCCAGTGCCACACTCTCCCGAGTGCGCCATGGGCTCGGCCCAAAAGGAGCAATTTTATGTAATTCAGAGATGAGTGCAGTTCTCATGGGCCAAGGTTGAGGCCTGGCTGAGAAGAGGATTCAGTAGGACTTGACTACAGTTTGTCAGAGAGAGAATCTTTGTCACCTTAAAGCCACAGTTATCAAGGCAGTGTGGTACTGGCATAAGAACAGACACATGAAGGTATTTCAAAAAATTCACGGAAAAATAGAATTAAAAGATACTGTGAATACTTCTGTGAACTTCCACGATGTCCCCCATCATGTCAAATGGTTCCATTCCAAATTAACCCTTTCTTCACCCTGACTCAGCTTGAAGTGGCAAGGTGAGTCATCTGTTCTATTCCACAGAAATGGAAGGAACTTGGTTAGAATGCAGTGTTATAACACCGAGAATCTTGGGTTCAGATCTCCTTAGTGGAAAACAACAACAAAAGTAACAGAAGGAATTATTGACAGTGGGGAAGCTGTTGGAGTGAGCAGGAGTGAGCCATGTTGGGGCCTAAAACCACATGGGCTCTGAAAGATTTTAAAAGGACTCAGTTTATTTTCTTGACACGCATTTCTCTGAGTTCCCTCTTTTCCCATGGTTGATATTTTGAACCTAGTTTATGTGGCAAGATGACATTATGTACATGAATGTGATTGTTTTCCAGTCAGACTGGAGCTGCAGACTTGCCATGAGACATGTACTATCCAGACCCTGAAGCTATGCTGATTCCACTCTGAATTGGGACCCTGAGATAAAATCAAGGACGGGAGCAGAAACTAGATGAAGCCTTGGTAAGATTTTGCATCTGGCTCCTTGCAGGGAGCCCCCATGGCTCACGTCCCCCTCCCTCCTGCTTTTCACTTCCCACCTTCCATTCCCTCAGCCCTCTCTTTAAAAACCCCTCAGTAAAACTGAGTCTTTTAGATAGTTTTAGCCTGACCGTGCTCCTTCAGGTTGACTGACAGATGGGTTACCTAACATCTCTCCTCAGGTCACTGGTATTCCTGAATACAAGCTGGCTTCCATTTTCACCAACATTTGACGTTTGAGTGTTTTGCTTTTGAAAAGAGACAGGCAGCCAGATCTGGGCTCAGTACTACCACGAGGCAGAAACTTGACATACCTTGCTCACCAATGTATTCCCAGCACCTGCATCAGTCCCCAGAACATAGTAGGTGCTCAGTAAGTTGTTGTTCGTTTTGTTTTGCTTTGTTTTTTTTGCAGCTAACCAGTATGGGGATCTGAAAACCCTTGACTTTGGTGTTATCAACACCCTCTCTAACCAACTGAGCTAAATGACCAGCCCAAGACCCTGCAATTTAAATGCTGTCTACTCTCTTTCCAGCAAAGTTCCTATATGCAGAACTTTTTACAGAAGAAGGAGAGTCAAGGCAAGCATTGGAGGCACTAACGTGGGAGTGGATAATACCATAATGAGGGAGAAGCAGAGCTCCCCACTGTGTTATGTATTTGAAATGGCTGAAAGTGTTTGTTTGTTTGTTGTAAACACCCATACAAGGAAGACAGTACACAATCAGCTGTTTGCAAATACTGGCAAATCATAGTGCAGGGTGATACTATTTGAATAAAAGGGATTTGTTTCTGGTGTCAGGGGCTGAATGTTTGTATCTTCCCAAAATTTATATGTTGAAGCCCTAAGCCACAATGTGACTGTATTTGGAGATGGGGTCTTTACTGAAATAACTAAAACTTTCTTTTCTTTTCTATCTTTTCTTTTCTTTTTTTTTTTTTGGTGGCTGGCCAGTACAGGAATCTGAACCCTTGACCTTGGTGTTACAATACCACATTCTAACCAACTGAGCTAACCAGTCAGCCCTGAAGTAAAGAAAATGAAATGAGGTCATAAGAATGGGATTAGTGTCTTTTTTCTTTAACTTTAACATATCCTTATTAAGTCGAATAACAACACTAACAAAGACCAGTATCACAGTGATTATAGATAAAAATAGGTAACTGGGTGCCAGGTGCCAGTCGTCTGACTTCCTGCAACCTGCTCTTCCTGGCCTTCAAGGTGCTACTGGCTGACCAGGTCAGGGGCTGCCCCTGACAGGACAGGTCTTAGGTCTGATTCTCACTGAGCCACTCCGTGGCCTGGAATTGGCTCCAGACTGCTCCTGGGCATGAGGGTTATAGTTATTTCCAGCCACCTGGAGCAGCAGGGTCTCCTGAAGTATTTTGAATTCCTTCTTCCTTTTCTGAGAATTGACCACATTCCCATCCACATAATCCTTCATTACAGTGTCTAGCATCGCCGGGGCAGTGCGGAATGTGCTGGAGAAGGGACAACACTCTTCTGCTATCAGTACCTTGTTACCATGCATGGGGTCAACCGCCTGCTCCCTTTCAAAGGCAAACCACTCAAAAGTCAAGTGTTGGAGAAAATGGAAGCCAGTTTTTATTCAGGAATACCAGTGACCTGAAGAGAGATGGTGGGCTAACCCATCTGTCCAGTAAACCTGAAGGAGAATGGCCAGGCTAAAGCCATCTCAGAGACTCAGATTCACTGGGGGGTTTTAAATAGAGTGTTGAGGGAATGGAAGGTGGGAAATGAAAAGCAGGAAGAAGGGGGACTTGAGCCACAGGAGCTCCATGCGAGCATCCAGGTGCAAGGTCTCACAGACACTTCATCTAGTATTCACTCCCATCCTTGCTGTTATCTCAGGGTCCTGCTGGAGGGGTGGAATCAGCATAACTTTATAGTTTTACTGATGTCTTTCTTAGCTTCCCAGGGTCTGGATAGTATGTTAAAGTCTGCAAGTTTGCAGCCTCAGGCTGGCTGTAAAACAACTTTACATTTATGTAAATAATGTCATCTTGCCCTATATCCAAGGTTCAAAATATCAAATAACCACGGGAATAGAGGGAACTCAGAGTAATGCATGCCGAGAAAAAACTATATCCTTTTGAAATCTTTTAGAGACCACGGAGGTTTAGGTCCCAACATGGCTTCAGTCCTGCTCACTCCAACAGCCTCATCTGAGCCCTTTAGGGGTTGATCTCCAGGGTGGCCAACTTGGTGGTCCCCACCTTGATGAGCGGATCTCTGCTCGGTGACTTGTCATTGCGGCTCAGCTTTGGATATTTTCTGAGGCTTTTTCTTGGCCACCCAGAGCAGTCATGAACCCCTATGTCTGAGCTGAAGTGGCTGGGATTAATGTCCTTATAAGGGACACCAGAGAGCTCCCTCCCCCTCTCTTCTCTGCTGCCCCTCCTCTCTTCCCACGGGAGAGCACACAAAGAGCTCATAAGGGCACACAGGGAGGTGGTGCCCACGTGCAAGCCCAGAGGAAAGGCCTCAGAAGGAAACCTACCCTGTCAGAACCTTGATCTTGGACTTCTACCCTTTAGATCTGTGAGGAATAAATTTTTGTTGCTTGAGTCACTCAGTCTGCACTATTTTGTAGGGCAGCCCAAGCAGATTAATACC